AGATGACTCCTTCAGGACCAGTGGTGAGAGGGGCAAGGCCTGGAGGGGGAAGGGAAGGTGGGGTGGAAAGGGGGAACCGATGACAAGAATTTAGGTATTGCCTGACACAATCACTGAAGACAAATGTGTGCATAAGCAAATGTGGTGAAGAGAGCTAATGGTGCCCAGCTAACAAGTGATATAGCGTCTGAGGTCTTAAAGGCTTGAAGATAAACAAGCGGCCATCTAGCTCAGAAGCATCAAAGCCCACATGGAAGTAGCACACCAGCCTGTCTGACCACAAGGTACAGAAAGGACCAGTTATCAGACATCAAAGAACTAAAAATCAGATAGAGGGACAGCAGAGAAGGGGGCGGGGCGTCGGACAGTGTAATTTATGACAAAACCATAATAAGTTGTGAATTATGAAGAGTTCATGGGGGTGGAATGAGCAACTGATATTAAGGGCTGAGGTGGAGGGCAAATGTTTTGAGAATGATGCGGGTAGCGAATGTACATATGTGCTTGACACGATGTATGTATGTATGGATTGTGATGAGAATTGTACGAGTTCCCAATAAAATAATTTAAAAAAGAGAGAAAAATTATCCATGTTGATTATCACCTATATAGAAACTATCATGTATATACACATATAACCATATTTTGTGTTTTAAAATTATCTTTCAATTTGGTTAATGATGGTAGCCAATGAAGCCCTGTTGAACACTAGGTGTCCTAAGAGTAAAGCAGAAATGGTTAATGAATTGAAAACAAAACAAAACAAAAAGTATGAAACTGAGCTCAACTAACATTCCAGGGAAAATATGAAGGACTGTTTTATTTAAAATTTGGTAGCATGTTACTTATAGATCCCATTTTTCGAATTTGGAATTTAAAAATACAAGTACATACCTAGGTAAACTATCACATAGACAGGCGTGATTATTTCCTTTTTCCCACCCACATGTCAAGGGAAATGTCCGGTAGCAGTGTTTGCTGGTTAGTCAATATTCAAGAAAGCTAGATTTCGTTTTAAAATTTAAACACACTAGCTGAACGCAAACTGTCACTTCACAAAGGATTTAAACATTGCTTTTTAAATAATCAGAGCCTTGGAGCAAAAGTCAGGAACTGCTGTTTCTCAGTCGGTTGTTCCTCGTGCTGAGGTAAACAACGTCCCCAAAATTTATAAAAAGCACTCCACACTGACCTACATTGTGTCAATTCTGACTCGTAGCGACCCTTTAGGGCAGGGGAGGACTGCGCTCCGCAAGCTTAGAGACGGAAACTGCACAGAGTGGGAGGCCTCATCTTTCCCTCACAGAGCTGGCGGGTGGTTTCATACTGCTGGCCTTGCAGACCACAGCCCAGCTCGTAACTACTATGCACCAGGTCTCCTTACCAAGGAGGACAGCTCCCTGGAAATCACTCTTTGCAAACTTGGAACTGGAACCTCCCAAGATGTGAGGATTCTAAGGACTATCTACTAGATTTGTGCTTACAAGGCACTTTAGAGAACCATTTGCCATTTTTAGTATTTTAATTTCTTGGTGTCGATAGCCTTAAACAGAGATGATCAGTGGGTGACATAGTCAATATAGATGGCATAACGGATCAGAGAGTTCTTACACAAAATAAGAGGTACTTACTTAAAAAGCTCATTTCTATCAATGGCTCTGTTGGTTTGGGGGTCGATTGCATAGACAGTCAGATCACATTTGGTGTAATCTTCTAGAGAAAAGGCATCTCCGTGCCGACGAGCACCAATGGATTCCACCACCACCTTGGCACCGGGAATCTGCTCCTGAACATAGCGATCCAAAATCCTGCAAATCAAACAAAGTACAAACATGACATTCTGATGGGCTTGCTGAGGTGAAAATAAAATCAACTTGACATGACATTTAGTAAATGAAAAATGGTGACAGCCTGAGTTTTGCTAATGTTCACTGAGTGTGAACCTTTGGAGAGAGAGAAAAAATAATCTTCCATGTTTTCTGTGTTTACTTCCCAGTGGTGTTCAGGACTGAATAATGTAGGACTAGGTCATCAACCATGTCCTATTTAAGTCTACACTTGCTGAATTTATGATACCATTTGGCTTCATGTGACTCGTGGGAAATGCAAAATGCACTGAATAAGCAAGCTCTGGCGTACAGATAAAAACATCTATGCATAATTAAAACTGTAATGCCACACACTATGTCACTGGATGGCAAATACCAGTGAGGTTATCTGTGGTGAGACGGTTGCAGCAGAACTTCCAGACTAAGAAAGACTAAGAAAAATGACTTGGAAATCTACCTCTAAAACGTTTGGCTAAAAAACTATTAAAAAAACCTTTATGGACAGCAGAAGACATTGTCCAATATAATTCTGGAACACTCCAGCTGAAAAGCACATGACTGGGAAATAGTTGCTTCCACAAAGTACTGTCTACATTAATGATGTGGATGGAGTAGAGCTTTGGGGATCTTCATTTACTGTGAAAGCATTACTCAAAGTAAGAGGAAACAGCTACAAATATCCATTGATAATTGTAAGATGGAATTTACAAAGAATGAATCCAGGAAACTTAGAAGCTTTCAAAGATGAAATTGTTTGCTTCAAGATACATATTCTAGGTATTAGTGTACTGAATTGAATTAGTATTGGCCATTTTGAAACAGACAGTTACATGATCTATTATGTTGAGAATACTAAATTGAGAATTGTGTAGAATTCATTGTGCAAACAAAAAAAATTCATGAGTTATCCTGAATTATAATACTGTCAGTGAAGATAATCTACATATACCTATAATAAGATTCATTAATTCCACTATTATTCAAATTTACATTCCAACTAATAATTCCAGAATGAAGAAATTGAGGACTTTTATCAATTTCTGCCATCTAAAATCAATCAGACATGCAGTCAAGATGCAAATATAATTACTGCTGATTGGCACACAAAAAGTTGGGTGGGGAGGGCTGGGGATCAGTAGTTGGAAATTATGACCTTGGGTATTCAAAGAGTGTCACGACTGCACGACGAAATATAGCAAGACTAATGACTTTTCATTGCAAATACCCTTTATCAACATCATAAATGACATATATAAACACAGACTTCACTATATAGAACCACAGTAACCAAATAGACTTTATCTATGGAAAGAAATGATGGTTAGTCTGGGTACTTTAGAGAAACAAATCCACAGAAACTCATGTATAAGAGAGAGTTTTATATCTCTCTGGGTTAAGCGCACATCAAGAAAACATCCTAACCCAGTGCTGCCCAAGCCAACAAGTCCAACATTAACCCATACATCGGATACCAATCCACAAAGTCCTCCTCCATCTCACAAAACAGACGCAATGAAGTCGACTGCAGGAGGAAAGCTGAATCAGTGAACGTGTAAGCATCTTAGCACTGGCAGGGGTCTCCACTCGGCTGCTCCAGCACACAGGGCTACATCGGGGTAGGTTCATGTGGCTTTTCCTCGAGGATATCTTGCAGGAAGTAAGCGTTACCAGCTGGCTTAGGCAGCTGTGCCCTGGTCTGACCATCACAAAGTAAGAGGCCTGAGAACTAGAAAGGCGAGGCTCACTGAGCCATGTAACTCTACACCCTTTAATTAACCCCACATGTGTGTATTGATCAGGTTGGCACAATAAACTATAAATATCTCAAGGGTCAAGCTCAATGTCATCCATCAGAACAAGGTCAAGGCCCCCCTGAAGAACAATATCAGTTGTTCATATGCAAACTTAAATTGAAGCTGAAGAAAAATTTGAAAGTCCATGAAAGCCAGATTATAACATTGATGATATCCCACCAGCATACAGAAGCCATCTCAAGAATACATCGGAAGCACTGAGCACTAATGACTGAAGACAGGTTGAGTTGTGGGTTGGCATCAAGGACATCATGTATGAAGAAAACGAAAGCTCATTAAAAAAAATAAAACATGAGGAAGAAAAGACCAAAGGAGATATTAAAAGAAGCTCTGAAACTTATGCTTGAAGGTAGAAAAGCCGAAGTTACTGGAAGAAATGGTGAAGCAAAAACCTGAGCAAAATATTTCCAAGGGTGGCTCAAGAAAACAAGTAAAGTATGAAAAGATCTGGAGGTAGAAAATCCAACACAAAGAACACGTTCAGCATTAGTTAACCTGAAAAAATCTAAAGAAGAAACTCAAGTCTCGAATTGCCATACTGAAGGATTGTACAGGCAAAATATTGGACAATATGAAAGAACCAAAAGATGAGGGAATACACCAAGTCACCGTGTCAAAAACAATTTATCAAGGTAGAATCATTTCTAGAAATAGCATAAGATCAAGGAGCAATACACTGAAGGAAGAAGTCCAAGGTGAACAGAAAGTATTTTTGAAAAACATAACTCCAGCAATTGACATAATACGAATTGAGATATTTCAGTAAACAAATACAACAGTTTAAATGCTCATTTATCTATGCTAAGAAATTTGGAAGACAGCTAACTGGTCAACCCAACCAGAAAAGACTCATATATGTGACCTTTCCAAAGCAAGATGATCCAACAAAATATGAAAGTATCAAACAAGGTCATTAATATCACATGAGACCATTAATATCATGTGCAAGTAAAATTGTGCTGAAGATAATTTTAAAACACTTGCAAAACTGCATGGGCAGGGATCTGCCATAAATTAAAGCCAGGTTTAGAAGACAACGTAGAATGTGGATATCCTTGCTAATAATGGATGGATCTTGGCTCAAAGCAGAGAATGCCAGAAAGCTGTTGTGTTGTACTGACTCTGCCAAAGCATTTATTTAGGTGTATCATAACACATTCTGGATAATATTGCCAAGAATAAGAATTCTAGAACATTTATATAGATCAAGAGGCAGTTGTTCAAAAGCAACAGCAGACACAATTACTGCCGTTGGGTACCATCAAGTCAGTTCTGACTCATAGAAACCCTCAATACAATCAAACAAAATACCTTGAAGTCCATGTTCTGCTGCAACCATTGTTGAACGGCCAGCAAAACTTTACTTGCATGTGATATTAATGGTATGTTTTGATAAATTGTGCCTTCTGATGGGTCACCTTTCTCTGGAATGAGTTCAAATAGGACTCTTGTCCAAAAGGTTGGTCAGGTAGCTGGCTTCCAAATTTCTTGGCATAGTTGAGTGAGTGCTTCCAGTGCTTCATCAGTGTTTTAAAACATTTCCATTGGTATGCCGCCAATTCCTGAAGCCTTGTCTTTCACTAATGCCTCAGTACAGCTTGAGCTTCTTTCTTCAGTACAGTACACTTGGCTCTTGATCATACACTACAACTTGAAATGGTAGAATGTTGGCAAGTTCGTTTTGATGTAGTGGTTGTGTATTTCTTCCATCTTCTTTTGATGTTTTCTATAGCTTTCAATATTTTGCCCAGAGAATCTTTCAATATTTCAACTCAAGGCTTGAGTTTTTTCACAGCTTGTCATGTCTTCTTTAGTTATTGTTTAATGAGTCCACGTTTATTCTTAAGATGCTCTCAAAATTCAGATGGGATATACCCAAGATCGTATTTTGGCTCTTGTGGGCTTCTTTTTAATGGGCTATTTTAATGTTCTTCAACTAGAACTTGAACTTACATGTGAAAATTTGATGGTCTGTTCCACAGCAAGCCCTTGGCCTCTTTTTGTCTGCTGATATTAAAGCTTCTCTATCTTCTTTCCACAAATAAAGCCAATTTTATTCCTGTATAGTCCATCTGGAAAAGCCTAAATGTATAGCCACTGTTTATATTATTGAGGAAACCTATTTGCTCCGAAGAAGTCATTGGTTTTGCAAAATTCTATCATGTGATCTCCAGTTGCATTTCTGACTTCAACACCATATTTCCGACTATTGTTCCTTCCTCTTTGTCCCAAGTTTTGCATCCCAATCACCAATACTTATCAATCTTGCCTCCATGTTTCATGAATTTCAGACTTCACAAGTTGGTAGAAGTCTTTAATTTCTTCATCACTAACTTTGGTGGCTGGTACATAAATTTGAATAAGATTTGTATTGACTGGATTTCCTTATACGTCTATTAGGCCAGCACAGAAAGCACTGTACTTTAAGATAGGTCTGCAAATGTCCTTTTATACAATGGATGTGACACCAATACCTTGAATTTATCATTATCATATGATTGTCTGATTCAAATTGATGAACATCAGTTCATTTCAGCTCACTAATGTATAGCATAGCAATCCTTATGCATTCAATTCTTGATGACTTCCAATTTCTCTGGAGACATATTTCATACATCCCATGTTCCATTTATTAATACATTTGTAATTGGTTCTTCTCACTTTGAGGTGTGCCATGTCAGTAATTGAAGGTCCCTACGGTTTTACACCAGCCACGACACCAGACTCTCCCCTGTGGGAAGACAGCCCTTCCTCAGTCATACTTTGAGTGTCTTTCCTCTTCTCCTCCAGCACTACGTCTGACAATGGTCTGCTGCTGTTCATGAGGCTTCTCAGCGTCTGACGAAGTCCCATTGCTATGGATAACGTTTCTAGCAGCTAATTCCTCAGAAGTGCAGTCTATTACTTCTTCTTTGTGGAGTCTGGAAGCTCTGTTGAAACGTATTCACATTGAGAGACCTTGATGGTCTTTGAAGGCAAGGGGTATAGATTACAGTGTTCAGCAATAGACAAACCACCACAGTGTAACAAATAGGCATGTTTGAGGTGATACCGCATCATTTTAAAAATCTGGAAAGGTGTGCACTGGAGCTGTGTTCTTTCACCATACTTATTTAGTGTCTATGCTGAGCACATAATCAGAGAAGCAGGATTATATGTAAAAAA